ACCGGATTTTCGTCCTCCAAAGCACTCTATCATACGTCATCTCAGTCATCACTCCCTTCTTGGTCATGTTACCTTTCACGCAATCCATCTCTTTCTATGTCTACCTCTACCGATGTACCTCCACATTCATAACTAACATTCTTCTTGTTACATGCGATTCATACCTTCTCATAACATGTCCATACCACTCTAACCTTTTACTCCTTATTTTCTCAACCACTGGGGCTACTCTCAAACTTCTAATATACTCATTTCGTATCTTATCCAATCGTAAAGCTTGTTTACCTAAGATGTTTTAGTTTCGCAGGTTGAGTTGGCACGTCGTTCACACTAGTATACTTGTAGCGGATGTGCCAATTAAAATCCCAATAAGTAAGAGCTGGCACAATTTTGACTAAACAATAGCACAACTGTTATGCGATTGTCGATTTTTTCGCAGCCTTCAACTGTTTATTTGCACAACTAAATAGAGTAGTGTCGCCTCAATCTATACTATTATAATAAAGCGTAAACACACACTTCTTTGTTGCCTAAGATGTCAGCAATTACACCATATTTTTGAATATTTCTTTTTTAAATAAAAAGCCCTACACTTACGTCACGCTTTAGCCTATATATTGTCACGTCATTAAACTAAGGGGGTAAATAATTTGGATAAAACCCCTAATGTGGGAAATAGACCTTAAGTTGCTGCCAACATTAAGGGAACAAGATTGCCAAGATTTGTCATGTCATGTCATTTTGACATTTGGTATTGATAATTTGACAAATGTAAACAACAAAGTAAAATTTTCATAATTTCATGCGGATGAAGCCGCTCGGGAACAGCTAGTATATAATAAGAATCGAAGCAAACGAGCAAGCGGCCACCTAAATCCGCCATAATGGCGTAGCGACTGCTGTCCATAAACATCCGCAATTGCAGATGCGTTTCTTACCCTTATCCGACGGAGGAGACACACATAAAGTGGATATTTCCCCTTCCTATGCATCTCCTCCAACGTCAAATCCACTTCCCCTTCCCATCCTCTCCTAATAAAAAAGGGCGGTAAAGAGAAAGTGACTTAAATTAGGCCTCCGGCACCACACTCATCAGACGAAACACGGAATTGCTTCCATTTCACGCCTGTCTTGTGGTCGTGGTATTGGGGGCGTGCCGGCCCTGCAGTGCTATGTTAAAGCGGGCTACTACCACTGTTAAAATTGTGCTGTTATCCTCACCCGGCATACAAGTTGGCCAGGCGTTCCATCTGCCGTCCTCACAGTGCATGTACGGCAGTTCTATAGGTGTGTAGTAGTGAGGTTGTTTGCACACAGGTTGCACTACAGTGCCAACGGGCTCGGTATCGCGACACGCGCGGGTCGCGTCAGTACCACTGATCAAACAGTTGTAGAGAACACTCCGATGTTTTGTTAAACGACACGTTTCTACAAGAGAATTAATAATTTATATTCATATCTATAGTAAGTACTATGTACAGTCGGGGATAGTGTCTGTATTCCACTTTAAAAGCTACAATCTAGGGTTGTAACGGAGACCATTTTAACGGAAGCGGAGATTCACGAAAGCGGAAGCGTAGTTCAATAATAAAATATTAATTGCGATTTATTAAAGAAATAAAAAGTAAAACTACGTTAAAGCAAATTACAGATTGGTACATAATTACAAGATACAGTTTGTTATAGAAATATAACCCTACCTACCACTTGCCACCTATACACTTGACGTAAGGTAAGTCCAAGGCGACAAGTGTAACAGCGTCTAGGCAATAGCATTGCCAACACACTAATAACAATCGAATCTCAATGACAAACGCTCATGTAAGTCGAAAATGTAAACTACTAGTTGACCGAGCACGCCATCGCGGCCGCATACACGATACCTAGTCGCTCCTCTACGTTAACGACGTAAATTAACCTCCGTTACAACTAGAATAGACGGTAGCTGATGCGGAGTTATCATTACTTGCGGAAGTTCCGCATTTACGGATGCGGAAGCGTAGTTCCATTACATCCCTAGTTTGAACATTTTGAAATGAGAGGGAAAACAGGGAGCAACGGGATTGATGCGAAATTACGCCTCGTTAGCTCGTAACGTTACGTCGCGTAACGTCGGTCTTACGCACTTTTAGGCTTTTATAATAGAAATTGTTACTCACGAACGCATTTCGGTAATTCCACTGGAGTCCATTCACCGTCGTAACAAAACGCACTCCCATCACCAACCAGTGCGTATGTCGGTTTACATGTGTATTGCAGATTCAAAACCATGGCTCTACCATTAATTACATTACCACCGGTGACTTTATATTCACCGTTCTCAGGTTGGGAAGGTAATATACATCTATAAGAAATAAAACTATCGTAATCAGATAATTTTCATTATCAACTTATTTGAATGGTAACTATGGTTGTCAAGTTTAGTGCCATCTCGTATTGTATTGGGATATTCATGGTATAAATGGAGAAAGTTTAGATGGTTGTTTGTTACAGTTTGTAGCCTAAACGGCTTAACAGATTTCGATGAAATTTGGTATAGATTTAAAGGATAATCTGGAAGGAAACATAGGCTACTCACTTTTGTCTTTTGTAATCCCATGTGTTTAAAATTTAAAAAAACACTTACTTTAATGTATTTCGTCGTCTTCGATTTAAAACACTTCTATACGAGATATTATTTGAACTGAAAATATTTAAGTACTCGTTAATTTTAATGATTCAGTTAAGTTTTTTTATTTATTTATTAAATGCAGCCAGTATTTAGCCAGCATTTTATGTCTTTATAATTTTTGTTTTTAATTTAATTTACGATGAAAATAAGAAAGTAAATGTAAATAAAAATACCTTTGGAATGAAGAAACGATCTCCACTAAAAGTATCGCTGAAAAAAGTTAACAAACGTTAAAAAAAGGTTATAAGCAATCTTGTATCTTATAAACAACACTCTATTTTTGTAATTTTTTTTAAGACTAGTCTTACCCGTGACGAATGACAAAAGTATCTTTGTCCACATCATTACAAGATAAATAGTTTTAATTCAAAAAGCTTTTAAAACTTAATTCATTCTTCTGAGTGCACTATAACAGGAAAGACCCAACTGGACAATAAGCATAAACAATTAAAACTCGTGCTTCTAGGGTTGTCGATTATTTTTAATAAACAAAGTTTATACCTGAACAAGTACTTATTTTCTTGGTTTAATTAATTTTCAGTTCATACATTGATAAGTTATAATATGGGTATATTCTTAATTTGAAGGACTAGAAGTTAACTTCTAGTCCAAAGAAATTAAGAATCATTTTTCATTTTTGTATCTTAGCTTGTAATCAATTAAGATTACGAAAATTATTTTTATTTCTCTACCTACTAAAACCACTTTATATTTATATTTTCAACGTTATGTGGCAACCTTAACTCATAAGCGGTCTGAGCCAATCATAATTTTATTTTGCTATGAACTCAAGATGACCTCAAGGTGAACTTCTTATTATAATGATAAGTCAAATCATAATTGTGCAATATAGTTTTATAAACGTGATCCCATTTTAACTAATTTTGGAAAAGACATCAATTAATCTAAAAGTGATGCATATACAATAATTTCCGAAATAGAACGTGCGTTTTTTCCTGTTTCTTATTGGACTTTTTTTATATATTTATTATTTATTCTGGCAACAATAATGATTATTGAATAATCTGTCACAATCGTATGACAACACTAAAACGTCAATGTCAATCTATCGTCAATAAACAAATGGATGGTTTCATTTTTCATTCTTTCCTTTAATTTTCATAATAATTTAATTAAAAATCGCATTTATAAAAGCATGTGATTGAATAATTTTAAAATGGCCGAAAACGTCGAAACGGAAGCAAAGATTAAGAGGTTTGACATGAGAACTATTGCGAAATATAGCCTTACAGGTTTTATCGGTAAGTGTCCTTTGAAAGATTTTATTAATTTCAAAATTATTATACGTTATATTCAGTTGCTATAACAGGTTTATGTGATAAACAAAATTTGTAATGCAAATAACTCAGACAAGCAAAAGGTTAGCGTGGTATAATATCCAGCGAGAGGATGACTTAAACAAGAGAGTATTAAAATTTAATGTGGTTGGTCGTAGGTAGAGGAAGACCGAAGAATGGATTGTGTAAAAGATATCCTTAAGGGAGTGAATTCATATATGACGGCTGATAGATATGAAGTACCTATTGCCAACCCTCTGTAGGGACAAGGGCAAGACCTACCAACACCCTTCCATGTTAAAAACTAGCTGTTCCCGTGCAACTTCATCCGCATAAAATTATAATCACTTTATTTTATTGTTTATATTTGTTATATGTAAAAATTCAAATGCATAAATGACAACCTTGCTTCCTTGATGTTGGTAGCTTGTAGTTTATGGTGCCATTCCAACAGAGTTTTTGTCCAAAACATTTACCTCCTAAATTTAATGATGTTAAAATATATAGCCTAGAGTGTGTGTCGGGCTTTTTATTTTAAAAAAAATATTCAAAAATATGCTGTGATTGCTGACATCTTAGGCGACAAAGAAGTGTGTGTTTACACTTTGTTATAATAGTATAGACTAGCTGGTCCCGTGCGGCTTCATCCGCATGATATTATAAAAAATTATCAATAGCAAATGTCAAAATGACATGATATTAGAAACCTTGGCAATCTTGCTTCTTGATGGCGTAAAAAATAGCCTAAAGCATGATGTAAGTGTAGGGCTATTTATTAAAAAAAAAATTATTCAAAAATATGCTGTAATTGCTGACATCTTAGGCAACAAAGAAGTGTGTGTTTACGCTTTATTATAGTAGTATAGAAGTATAGATATAGATACTAAATACAGTAGGAACTTGATAAGTTAAAGTCTAAGTGAAACACAAAATGTTTTAAGTTATAGAGGTTTTAAGTTATCAAGGGTCTATGTTGTAGAGGTTTTGGACTCTGATGGGAAGGGAACATATTATTTTTTGAAGTCATAGAGGTTTGAGTTATCAAGGTTCTTATGTATATATTCTTTTGTTCGCAGCTTTGTTTTTAGGTTTCCTACACCACAAATATGTATCAAATTTGTTTGAAAATGATAGAAACTTCTCTTATCTGTCCGATCTTGAAAGGGAAATGTCTTTACGTACAGAAATGGGCTTCTATTACTCATATTACAAAACTGTTGTGGAAGAAATACCGTATATCGCTGGGATATCGAAGATTATGTATGATAAGTTAGTTGAATACCCGAATGAAGTCAATGCATTTAATAGATTTAATATTTTCCCTGAGGTAAGTTTATTGTTTATGCAAAGATAATGTGAGTTAGTTTCTCAAACTTTTGAGTCCACAAACCAACTTATTAAACACCCAGAGATAAAATTGGCTTTTTAAAATGTTCATTTCCTTAAAAGATAACAAATACAATATCAGAAAAAATATATTATATATTATTCTTGCTGTTGCCCACAACTTAGTCTGTGCAGTATTAAAAAACATAAACAATTGAAAACAAAAATACTATGTATCCCTTGGGAACTTGTCACTATTTGGAAAAGTATCCCATGTGTAAGTTTGTTTTATCTGTGCCAGATCTCAAAAAGATATTTAGAAGTGTTGCAGGTATTTTTTTTTATAACATAAGGTGGCAAACGAACAAGCGGCCACCCGAATCCGCCAAAATGGCGAAGCGACCGCTGCCCATAAACATCCGCAATTGCAGATGCGTTGCCTAACAAACATTGACGGAGAAGACGCACATGAAGAGGACATTTCCCCTTCCTATGCGCCTGTTTTCTGTGTGGTCGTGGTATTACAGGGGGGGGGCGAGCCGGCCCTGCAGTGCGAATTTGTTAAAGCGGTCTCTACCACTGTATAATGTATAATCTAGTTATTATAATAAATAAATCTTCCAGGTACTTATTGGTACGATATATCGATATTTCGAACCATCATTAAACTCATCTCACAGAGAATGTCATATGGTTGAACGGGACTCAGGAATGGAGCCAGTGGAGAGTTGTGTTGGTCTCGGGGTGCCTATTATGTTCTACTTAGAAGCTGTCTGGTGGATGGCAGGGCTCACTGTATCTGTACTCTTCTTGCATGCGGTGACTCTTAGGTGAGTGATAAAGATGGATATATATTTGTGGTTTCGTAAATGGTTGGATGTCAAAAATAGCAACTTTTCAAGAGAAATCTGCATAGTTTTGTAAATACACTATATTAGTACACTTTGTGTATACTTAATTATCGTTATACTAGCTGTTTCCATGCGGCTTCATCCGCATAAAATTGAAAACAAAATTATTGTTTACATTTGTCTAATTCTCAATCGTAAATGACAAAATTACTGTTACCATAATAACATTGCTTTCTTGATGTTGGCTTGTAGTTTATGATCCCTTAAGGTCTTTTTCTAAATTATTTACCTCCTAAGTGTAATATCGTGAAAATATATAGCCTAAAGCCTGACTTAAGTGTAGAGCTTTTTATTCAAAATAGAATTATTAAAAAATATGCTGTAATTGCTGACATCTTAGGCAACAAAGAAGTGTGTGTACGCTTTATTATAATAGTATAGACTAGCTGTTCCCTGGCGGCTTCATCCGCATGAATTTATGAAAATGTCACTTTATCGTTTACATTGGTCAATTTATCAATAGAAAATTTCAAAATGACATGACATGACAAACCTTGACAATCTTACTTCCTTGATGTTGGCAGCAACTTATGGTCTCTTTCCCACATTAGGGTTTTTATCCAAAATATTTACCCACTAAGTTTAATGGCGTGGAAATGTATAGCCTAAAGCGTGACGTAAGTATAGGGCTTTTTATTAAAGAAAGAATTATTCAAAAATATGGTGTAATTGCTGACATCTTAGGCAACAAAGAAGTGTGTGTTTACTCTTTATTATAATAGTATATAGATTTAAATTTAGATATATTTCCTCTTTTAGTGGTAACATCTTAGGTGGTCTTCTAGCGATTGTTCAATACTTTGCTAATCACACGGAATGCACGCGAGTACAGTGGGCACCAAATGAACGGGAGAACTTCGCATTACCAATACTTTTACTGCAAGGTTGGCTACTGACTGTGCAGTTAAGGGATAAGACAAGGAAATATGGGTTACGGTTACAGGTAATATATATCTATACTAATATTATAAAGAGGAAAGATTTGTATTTTTGTATGTATTGAAATAACTCAAAAACTACTGGGGCGATTATAAAAGTTATTTCACCCTAAGAAAGGTAATTTATCAGTGAGTAACATCGTCTTTTTTCTTTTTTAATTTCACGGGTACAATGCCGCGTGTAACAGCTAGTTTTAAGTTACTTATAAAGAGGGAAAATTTGTATTTTTGTATGTATTGAAATAACTCAAAAACTACTGGGACGATTTTAGAAATTATTTCACCGTTAGAAACGTAATTGTCAGTGAGTAAAATAGTCTTTTTTCTTTTTTATTTCACGGGTACGAAGCCGCGTGTAACAGCTAGTTTAAACTGAATTATAAAGAGGGATAATTTGTATTTTTGTATGTATTGAAAAAAACTCAAAAATTACTGGGGCGATGTTAATTCTTTCACCATTAAAAAGCTACGTTAACACTGAGTGATATACGATTTATTTATTATTATTATTTAAGTTAACGTGGGCGAAATCGGGAGCAGAGTTAATTGGTTAGAATACAATTTAATGCCGCAATATCAAGAGGTGTGAAATGGAAACAATCCCGTTGATTTTTGTATATGGGCAACACTGTAGTGCCTTCTCCTAGCAGGGCTATTTCCTACTAAAAGTTATATCTGTTTCAATATAACCGTGTATATTTTGATTAGTATGCCGTTGGTCTGATTATAGTTATATTTCTAACGATTTCTTATAAAAGGATGGGAGGGGAAAGTTTTTTTTTTTATATTATAAGTTGCCAAACGAGCAATCGGCCACCTGAATTCAATGAAATGGCCAAGCGACCGCCCCATCTGGGTAATTGATGCGTTGCCTATTCGACGGAGACGCACATAAAGAGGACAATTCCCCTTCCTATGCGTCTCCACCTTCAAATACACTTTTCCTTCCCATCCTTTCCTCTTAAGAAAAGGGTGGAAAGGGAAAGGGACTACAATTATGCCTCCGGCACCACACTCATCAGACTGTACGCGGAATTGCTTCCACTTCACGCCTGTCTTGTGTGGTCGTGCTATTACACCGGATGAGCCAGCCTATTTGAATTTTTATCTGTACATATTTTTCTTTGTTTCAGATCGCGATTTTTCTTTGCAACTGCCTTTGTTTATTATTCTGGCAATTCAGTCAATTTATATTCTTTGCTCAGTTAGGTATTTATTTCTTGATGGAACAATTTTATATTATTGAAACGAAAGTCCTTTCTATATTTCTTCATTCGCACTTCTGTGGTCTGCATATGGCTATCCTTTTCTTACAAGGCAATGATATGCTGAAATCTTCTATGTACACTTCTAGTTTTGTCGTAATCTTTGTTTATTGTCTTTTCTTCAGCTCTATGAGAATTTCTATTAAAAATACAACCGATATTATATTGGAATCCCATTTGATTGTATTCAGATTCATCTGTGTAGGTTTCGCTACGATTTATTTGAAAATTTTCATCGGTAATTTCTTAGAAGTCGAAGACGATTCTCACATCTGGGATATGCTTTTCTCGAAATTTTCAACCGAATATAGAAATTTTCATACGTTAATTTATACATGTACTGATGTATTCGATTTCCTACCTTTTAGTTCTATCGAGAATATGTTTAATACTTTTTTAATACCTTTTATTATCGTAATTATTTGCAATATTGTAAAAAAAACTTACGATAATGCGGTAATACAGAGAGATATTGAGAATCATAAAGACTCTAATAAAGATAGCGAAGACAAAAGTGAAAAAACAGACAGCAATAAGGGTGTTTTAGATATATTAATCTATGTGAAATTAGACCCGGCGTTGTTTTATAATTTCTCACTAATGATGCTTTATTGGGTTTTCGCGTTGTTTGTGATGAGACTGAAATTGTTGTTGGCAACACAGATGTGTCTTCTATCATCGTTGATGGTCACAAAGAAGTATTATAGGTGAGTTTTAAGTATTTAATCCGTACTATTATAATAAAGCGTAAACACACACTTCTTTGTTGCCTAAGATGTCAGTAATCACAGCATATTTTCGAATAACTCCTTTTTTAATAAAAAGCTCTACACTTACGTCACGCTATTTCAGGCGCTATTCAGGCTATTTTCACGCCGTTAAACTTAGGGGTAAATATTTTGGATAAAAACCCTAATGTGGGAAAGAGACCATAAGTTGTTGCCAACATCAAGGCAGCAAGGTTGCCATGGTTTGACATCATGTCATGTCATTTCGACATTTGCAAAAAATTGACCAATGTAAACGATAAAGTGAAGTTTTTATAATTACCTGCGGATGAAGCCGCATGGGAACAGCTAGTAGATTATAACAGGGATGCTTCTAGCCCGATTATTGGTATCGTTAGATATACATGAAATTATAAAACTATATTTTTTTGTTTACATTTGTCACTTTCAATTGCAAATGTTAAAATACAATGCACAAATCACAACGATTTTGAACTTGGATAACAATTACCGTTACCATGTTTTAGCACCCTTTCCTGCATGACTGTTTTTTTTTTCAATTTATTTACCTTCTAAGTTTAATAGCGTGAAAATATATAGTCTAAAGCGTGTCGTAAGTGTAGGGGTGTTAATTAAAAGAAGAATTATTCAAAAACTAGCTGTTCCAGTGCGATTTTATCAGCATAAAATTATTTTATTGTTTACATGTGTCAAATTGTCAATTGCAAATGTCAAAATGACATGACATGATGTCAAATGGCAACCTTGCTTTCTTGATGTTGGCAGCAACTTATGGTCTCTTTCCCACATTCGTTTTTATCCAAAAGATGTACCCCCTAATATGTTTAGTGGCGTGAAAATATATAGTCTAAAGCGTGAAGTAAGTGTAGGGCTTTTTTATAAAAAAAATAATTGTTTAAAAATATGGTGTAATTGCTGACATCTTAGGCAACAAAGAAGTGTGTGTTTACGCTTTATTATTATAGTATAGATAGATATAGATGACTACCTTACGAATATCTATGGTTTTGTTGTGAAGGTTCCCAAAGAGGATAATGGACCGTTTGCCTGTGATTTGGTTGATTCTACTCTTACCCATTGGTAGGCAGCTTGTAAATAACGTGACACGAGAATCAGCTCATATTGGTGAGTCCCAACATATACTAAAGTGTGTATCTTTTTATTCCACCCTAAATGTAGACAAGGGTTGCTATATTGCCTTTATTAACCCCCCCTTAAAGTGATGAAAAAGGGAAGTTATGTGTTTTACTAAAAATGTTTTGGTATGCAAGCTTTTGCACTTTATGTCTGCAAGGAATTTAAAAAAAATAACTTGTCTATGAGTTAGACTATTCTCTACTACGGTAGGGCCTCGATTACTCAAACTTCGGTAACTTAAAAACCTCTATAACTTCAAAAAATAATATGTTCCCTTCCCATCAGAGCCCAAAACCTCTACAACATAGACCCTTGATAACTTAAAACCTTTATAACTTAAAATATTTTGTGTTTCCCTTGGACTTTAACTTATCGAGGTTCTACTGTATGACTTTTCGAGATCCGTTCAGTTTAAGCTACATCTAACATCAATCGCATTTATAATATTAGTAAGATTTGTCTATGGTTCTAATTTAAATTTTCAAAAAAAACTCCCAGTTTACAAGGTACTTTCTAATCAGGTGAGTTTAGTGACTACCCACAAGAGGAGATGTTAAAATGGATATCAAGTGACGCTGGCGCAGGTGCGTTTGCTGGCTCAATGCCGGTATTGGCCACTGTCATGCTGGCTACAAGGAAACCGATAGTCGCACACCCACATTATGAAAATGTAGGGGCCAGGTAAGTAAAAGCAATAAAATGTATTTTGTGTATACTAGCTGTTTCATGCGACTTCGTTCGCGTGGTAAAAAATATAGCCTATGTTACTCAGTAATCATGTAGCTGTTTATTGGTGAAAGAATTTTTGAACCCGGACAAATGAAAAATTTGTATTTTTGTATGTATAGAAATAACTCAAAAACTACTGGGGCAATTTAAAAAATATTTCATCATTAAAAAGTTACGTTGTCAGTTAGTTACTGTAACCGTTCCCGTGCGGTTTCATCTGCATGAAATTATAAAAACTTTATTTTATTGTTTACATTTGTCAAATTCTCAATTGCAAATGTCAAAATGTCATGACGATGACAAAGCATGGCAATCTTGCTTCTTGATGTTGGCAGCAACTTATGGTCTATTTCCCACATTAGGGTTTTTATCCAAATATTTACCCCCTAAGTCTTATAGCGTCAAAATATATAGCCTAAAGCGTGTCGTAGGTTTAAAGCTTTTTTATTAAAGGAAGAATTATTCAAAAATATACTGTGATTGACATCTTACGTCACAAAGTACGTGTTTACGCTTTGTTATATTAGTATAAATGTAGATTTAACAGTGGTAGAGCCCGCTTTAACATGTTAGCACTTCAGGGCTCGCCCCCAATAATACCACGACCACACAGAAGACAGGCGTGAAGTGGAAGCAAATCCGTGTTTCGTCTGATGAGTGTAGTGACGGTGGCCGGAGGACGGGAAGGGGGAGTGGATTTGACGGAGGACGAGATACATAAGAAGGGGAAATATCCTCTTTATTTGCGTCTCCTCTGTCGGATAAGGGTGGGCAACGCATCTGCAGTTGCGGATGTCAGTCGGATTTAGGTGGCCGTTTGCTCGATTGCCACCTTATGTTATAAAAAAAAAAAATAAGAAATTTATGTTTTTTTTCACAGAAAACGTGCATACTCTGTATATAAAGTGTACGGAAGGTTTTCGAGCGAAGAATTATATGAGGATTTAAAGAAATTGAAAGCAACATATCTTATAGTTGAATCTAAATACTGCTATGGGAGAAGCAAGTAAGTAAAGAACACTAGCTTACACACGACTACGCATCTGTGAATTAAAAGAAGTAGCCTATGTATTTTTCCAGACTATCCTCTACCATTATTATAAAGACGAAAGATTTGTATTTTTGTATTTATTGAAATAACTAAAAAACTACTGGGACAATTTTGAAATTCTTTCACCATTAAAAAGCTATGTTATCAGTGAGTAAGTAGGCCATGTTTTTACATTTTTTTTATTTCACGCGGAGGAATTTTTTTTATTGTTTTTTTAATTTTACACCGGCGAAGTTGCGACACTACAAACTTCATCCATCCATCTAAACTTTCGTAATATTAGTAAGATGTTTAGTTCTGTTTTCTTATTTTTACAACAAAAAAATACTATACAATCAGATTTGGTTCTAATTTTTTTTACAAAAAATTATAATTTTCTTCATTTTACTTAAAATAATAGTAGATTTTTTGTTAATCTATACTAATATTATAAAAAGGAGAGACTTGCATTTTATATGTATTAAAATAACTCAAAAACTACTGGGTCAATTTTAAAAATCCCTTCACCGTTAGAAAAGTTAATCTTAATATTTTCTTTAACCATTTCAACTAGGCTTTTCTTATGAGTTAATTTTGATTTCCCTTTAAAAAAACCCTTATTAGTCCCTTGTTTATAGCAAGGGCTGTTCTTTCGCTGATATCTGGGATATAGAAGAGCCAGCACTATCTCGTCTCCCACAACTTTGTAATACTCTCCTAACAGATAGCGCGGAACATTTCTACCCAGTATTTAGAAATCAACAGTACGCTGTATTCCTTGTACATGATTATAGTGTTAGGTAAGTGATTTGTTCTTTTAAGATATTTATATAATACTAGCTGTTGCCCGCGACTTCGTCCGCGTGGTATTAGAAAACATACGAACCATATAAATAACAAAAAGCTACGTATCCCTCGGGAACCGGACACCTCGGGGATGATGCTTATCCCATGTGTAGTCCAGACTTTGCTTTATATCTGTGCCTTTCAATAAGATATATTGAACCGTTGCAGAATGATCGAGTAAACATTAAAAAACTAAGTTAATGAATCCCAGAACCGTAACCATTCCCGGGATAAAAAGTAGCCTATGTCTTCCAGACTATGCTCTAAACCTGTGTCAAATTTCATGGAGATCCGTTCAGCCGTTTAGGCTTCAAACGCTAACAAACATCCATCCATATAAACTTTCGCATTTATAATATTAGTAAGAAGTAAGATATAGACAGTGAATAATTTATTTTTAATATATTATCAGTTATCAAATTTAGTGCCACCTTGTTATAAAACATTTTTCTTATGATATACTATACTATACTATACTAATATTATAAAGAGAAAATATTTGTATTTTTGTATCTATTGAAATAACTCAAAAACTACTGGGGCAATTTTGAAAATTCACCGTTAGAAAGATAATATATCTGCGAGTAACATAGGCTATATTAGCTCTAATCCGCGACTCCGTCCGCGTAGAATAAAAATAAAAATGGGTAGCCTATGAGTCCTTCCAGACTATCCCCTACAACTATACCAAATTTCATCGATATTTCTTTAGTCGTTTAGGCTACAAACTTTAACAAACATCCATCTGAACTTTCGCATTTATAATTGTAAAAAGTAGTATTACGAAAAATCTGAATTTAAATAAAATTGAGTCTTCACTATTTCAGATACATGCCGAGAACATTTTCCACTTGAAGTTTATCAAAAGGAAATTTATAAAAACGCTAATGTACAGAATTTAAAATTGTATTAATTTATTACCCTTCATACAAAATCAGTAACTCTTAAACTATACCCCATAGAACCCTTGTATAACTAGCTGTTCCCATGCGGCTTCATCCGCATGAAATTATAAAAATTTTATTTCATTCTTTACATTTGTCAAATTATCAATTGCAAATGTCAAAATTACCGTTACCATAATAATCGTCTCATTCCCACATGAGGATATTCTTCAATTCGTTTACCCCCTAAGTTTGATAGCGTGATAATATATAGTCTATAGCACGGCGTATTTATTAAAGAAAGAATTATTCCCGTGCAACTTCATCCGCATAAATTTGAGATTTTTTTTATTGTTTACATTTGTCAAATTATCAATAGCAAATGTCAAAACGACATGACAAACTTGCTTCCTTGATGTTGGCAGCAACTTATGGTCTCTTTCCCACATTAGGGTTTTTATCCAGAATATTTACCCCCTAAGTTTAATGGCGTAAAAATATATAGCTTAAAGCGTGTCGTAAGTGTAGGGCTTTTTATTTAAAAAAGTATTGTTCAAAAATATGGTGTAATTGCTGACATCTTAGGCAACAAAGTAGTGTGTGTTTACGCTTTATTATATTGGTATAAATTTATAAATCCTAAAATTTTTGGTTTCTGGCAGCTCCCCAAGACTAACTAAAGTTTAATTTGAGATAACAATATTTACAGTAAGGGCAGAATAAATGTTGATTTGCCCTTGAAATAAAGACAAAAAAAGGTGATTCCTTGTCACAAATTGTATGTTCGGAAAAATTTGGCTAATTTTTTTTTAAACGGTGACCTATTTTATTATGGTTTTATGTTAATTTTTTGGTGTTTTTGAAGTAGGGTATTGGGCAAAGCCCCACCCTTTAGCTACGGCCATGCTCCTCTTGGTGACGCAAATGTATTTTTTTTAGTATGCTTTTTTTTATGTGTCTCATGGAATTTACTCTTTTTTACATTGTAATATTTGTAAAAAGTTACTAAACTTAACTCGAATGCAACGTAAATAGAAATTGATCTCTTATGATATCGGAGGTTGTTTTTTAATGTATTAAACATTATAGATTTACTGTGAAAAGAAAAAAATATGAATTATTCCCAACCGTCACCCTACTCTGTCCCCACGTGAGAAGAAAAATTTTCATACGTTCCACCTTTTAGTCTATTACCAATAGTCATTATGTCACCTACATATGGAATGTTAAAAAATAAAAAATATCCAACCGTCCCCTTGTCGCTGAATGTGGGACGGATGAAACTTTTTATTCTCATCTGTCTCCACGTGGGGACAGAGCCGGGTGACGGTTGGGAATAATCAAAAATATCGCATTTATATAGAATAGAACTGAACTGTAAATAAATCTATGTAATATTGGATTATTTAATTCATTATTTTCTTAATATGTTAATAAAAATAGTGATTTTAACTAACAAGTATTATTAAATGTGTATAATGTAGGAATAAAAATAAATCTATTCTCCTACAAATATTGTTTTTTTTATTACCCGACCTCTTATGTAAATAATTCATCAGCTACCTTCTCATCCTACTCAAAGGCGGATCCAGCATTGGCGCCAGTTGGTTACATAGTTGCAGTCAAGTCAAGAGCTTTATGAATTACATGAATTTATTATTTATTAATACATTTTTTTACAAAATGTTTAAAACTAATAATCACTAAGAACATTAAATATCTGTTTAAGACATTGTTTTAGTAGTGTTGTGCAGGACATGTAGTCAAAGAATTAAATTTGGTACCCACTTGCAAATATTTTCAAACAGGGATAAATTGCTTTAAAACATGGTTTTCAGTGGACATGCCCACAAAATATAGAATTATTTCAAACAATTTTTATAGCTATTAACTTATTAAGACTGAGACATCTTACTACACTGTATATAGCTTGACAAAATATGAAAATATATTACGTAAAGCTTTTGAACAACCAGCTCAGGTCATGACCCCCAGGACTCCTCCCCCCGGATCCGTCCTTGATCCTACTCCCATAGAGTGCAACAGGTTTTTGTCCTCCACTCTATCATACGTCATCTCAGTCACTCCTTACACAATCCTTCTCTTTCTATCTCTACTACCGATGTACCACACTCGTAACTAACGTTCTTGTAACATGTGATTCATCCCTCATAACATGCCCATAGCATGCTAACCTTTTTAGCATAACGGCTGAACGGATTTCGATGACTAGTATAGATGTAGAGGACAGTCTGGAAGAACACATTGACTACTTGCTTTTGTTTTTTTTAATTCCACGCGGACGGAGTCGCGGGCAAAAGCTAGAGGCGATATATTTTTTTAAATCGGTCCAGTAGTTTTTGAATTATTTCAATGATTACAGAAATAAAAATTTATATAAGTATAGTTATTTAATAAATTGTTTAAATTCATGTTACAAATATTCTGTTAATTAAAAAAATAACCGTGTAATTATTAAAATTTAATTTATTTCAAAATCATTCTGGTTCACATAATTCATATTTTTCGATGCACTCCAATAACCAAGCTATAGGTAACGCTTTCAAATGCTTCATATTGTACTTCGGTTCGTAAACATCCTTGAAAATAATATAATGGGAACACAGATCGAGTTTCCCGCCTTTTTTCCCATGATATGGTACTAACTTCTCATTATCTGGAATTGATTCCGGGTTCGGTAACCTCCTTAGTACTTTCCCTCCTGCATCAGTTATCAGTTTTGTTAAAGTAGTCTTGTTTAATATTAAATTTTTAGATAATGGGGATGTTTCCTAATGTTACAAATCCAAATAAAGTTATCTTTAATATTTTAAAGACAGCATTTTATAACCTATAATAACATTTAGAGACCTTGAATGTTTGTCTCAAATTAAATATAAATTAAAAACGCTGCAATATTTTTTACCCTCCATTACTCGATCTCAAACACCAATGACGTCACTTTCTTGCATATAACATGGCAGTGTGACCAACTTCAGTGAACGTCAGTGCATTTTGTAGTTATATTTTTTTCTAAATGATTGTAATAATTGAGTTTGCGTGTTTTATATTATGAGGACTCCATTATTGAGTGTTTTTATAATTACGACATAAGTTATGAGCAAAACATTTTATGAATATTACAAAAGAAAAATATATCAAAATTCATAAGAGTAGCTTATAGTACAATTTAATTTATACCTGGTCACACTGGTGTAGGACGCAGTCACTGTTTACACACAAACATAATCTTCCACGAGAAGCAACAAGTGTAATTAATACGTTAAAAGTATCACCTTCTGTTCATTTTGGTTTTTTCATTTTTATCTCCATTGCTAAAAACAACTTTAGACAACAAAGATTTACGAGTATTATCAATCAATGGTTCTTTCAAATTGACAGTGACAGGCCGTGACGCGAGGTTCGTATGCAAAGAAGTGACGTCATGGGACGTTTTGGGGGGAAATGAAAGAGTTGTTTTTATTTACGTGTTTTTTTATTGAAATAATGAGTATTATATTTTATACTATTTTTTTTCGTGTTCATACATGGTTTATCTACAAAATAAAGGCTGTTCCAAAAATTAGGAAACATCCCCATTCGTAACTCGTATTAAAATTGTGCAAATAGAAATGACAACCGTTAAATAGATGTGGTAATTGTTTGTTTTTATTGTATCTTGAAATTTTAGCGCCATTATACTTCGCTGTACCTATTTTTATTTCATATTTTTCATAATCTTCTAATTTGTTATCTGTGCTTTGTATAATCCAATCAGATGACAGTATCCAAATACCATAGACTATACCTTGTAATATATCTAGACTGGACATACATATCCCTTCTTCCGCATCCACTATTAAATGTGTCACTTTTTTACTGAATTTCGATTCTATTGTTATTTTATGATGCTTTGATAGTATTTTTAATTTATTCTGCACCGTACGATATTTTGTAACACAGTATACTATAATATCTTCGTTATCTAACTTCATTTTAAACGGAGATAGATTAGTTATGTTAATTTTGACATTTTTCATAGCGACATCTATTATTTTTTTTATTTCGGTATTAGCTAGTTGTTCTGGTGTTTCACCTTTACTATTTTTAGCGTTTACATCAGCTCCGTATATAACTAGTTCGTTAACAATCTCTTTATGGTTATATTTGACTGCTTCATGTAATGGTGTCTCGTTGTCAGGTCCTGGTACGTTGATTAGGGTGTTATGATTTAAGAGAAGTCTGACTATATCTGGTCTATTTGTTTGAACAGCCTCATGTAATGGTGTCCAGCCTGCATAATCTTTTGTGTTTGAACTAGCACCTAGATTGAGTAATTCTTGTATTTTCTTTATATTACCGTGGCGACAGGATACGTGTAATGCTGTTTCGCCATTTTTATTACGTTTGTCTATATCTTTATGGTTTTTTATATTAACGGTTGATTGTTGTGAAATTTTCGATGTCTCTTCCATCGATTGTCTTAATTCTGGGTTTATATTGTTTGTAGCTGGTTTTTTAGTATTACGAGTACCTCTAATTGTTACATTTTTGTCTCTCGCTTCATTAGGATTAGGTTGGTTTTTGTATTTTGAGAATATTTTTTCTAACTCAAATGTTGAGTTTACGCTTGTTTCTAAATTATCTACTTTAAATACAGGTTGGTCTAATAGTATTTTATCACATTTAGGACATTTGATTAGTTCTGCGATATGTTCCTCGCAAATTAAATGAAAACAGCACTTCAGTGTCACCGGTTTCCTGCAAAATTCCTTACAAACACGACACGTGTAATATCCTTTAACAGCTTCTAATGCAATTAAGAACGAATTCATGTTTTCTAAGCTCATTTTATGAGTTTTCCATAAAAACACAATAAAGCAAACAAAATTGTTATTTATATTTATGCGGGTAAAAATAAAAACACAAATTGAATAATTGTTGCAAAGAGTATGTTACTTGTCACTTCCAAAGAGTATGTAACCTAGTAGTATGTGAGTTAACAGATGACAGTAACATTTATGTGCGGTTCACACCCGGCCAGTAGAGTTGAAAACTGGACTGACATCATGTGAACTAACTGGCGCGCCAGTCCATGAAGTGTATGACTTGCCGGCGCAACTGTCCATTTATACTGGCTAAGTGTGAACCGGGCATTACTCGCACATTTTACATTTTGACGACTATCCCTCCTTGATCCAGTGAACAAACCAATCAGACTC